TACAGGACAAAACAATTATTATTGCTAATGGCTTTATATACAAGTTTTATTTGCATACAAAAGTACAAACAAAACTTATATTTAAAAAAATAATAAAAATATTATTAACGATAATGATATATGTTATGCAGTGGCACTCCTAGTGGAAGCATAGAGTGCAAATTAGTTTATATGATAATAACAGGAATGGTAGAAATCGTGTTTCTCTTAATTTTTTAATATGCGATAAACGGCATAAATACTATTGATTAAACTCCCCATAGACTTTTCTTTACACGCATTTTATTTATTGACTGGTATTAATTTAATGTATTCATTTGAGTTTTGTAGCATATTTTTATTAAGTTATAATCAATCTCGATTTAATATTTTTCAAATTTTAATGCAAAATATCAAAGACATTGCAATTACAAGTGGACTTAAATAGTACTCGTGTCTTTTAATTATATATGGTAGTTCTTAACGCGTACGTATATATCTTTATTTGAAGGTTAAAATTATAATTTCTCACAAGCACACATTATCTTTAAGTACATCGCAAACTGCTTATTTGCACCATTTTTATTTATAATGAAATTATTTGCTTATGAGTTATTAAATCGTAATTATTGAACATATAATTATATCCTTACATGTTAAAAATATTTGAAATAGCATAACTGCAAACATGTAATATTTGATTTTGCACAGCTGTTGTATCTATCTATGTATCTATTAACAAAGACTAAAGTGGGTCTATTAAGCCGACAACCAAATGTTTGTAAACATCGAGCGCAGTGGTCTCCTAGGCCAGAAAAACAGAAATGCACATTAAAATTAATGGGAGTCATTAAGTTTTGTTGATGTGTCAATAACTGGTATATAAATCCATAGAGTATGTGTATGTAATACCAGTAGATATATTATGAGCTAAACAATTTTATTTATTAACATTTTTATTGAGTTTTTAGCACCCAACCATATCTGATACCGATACTGGCACTCGCATTTGAACAAGCGCATGTACGCGGGTCGATACAATCTAATGGATTCTATCAATTGGGTGTTTTTAATTTTCGTTGACGAAATAATTACTTTTCTAAAAAAAAAATATAATTATAAAATTATTGAAAAATACTCACGTTGATTATTAACAACTTTAAAAATTTAACACTTCGGAGTGAATAATCGTTTAAAATTCAGGCAAAAACATCCCACACAAGCAAAACTAATTTAAACTTTCAATAGCCAAAATTTCAAATAAAAATTAGCGATAATTTAGCCAAATAACAAAAGATAAATTATTATACACCGACATAGTTTAATTGAAATAAAAAATAATTAGCCATATGAAAGTATCTGAACTTCGTTGGTATCGCCAAACGAAAACCTTGAAGTTTTACATGGCGTTGCGTTGATTTCAACGTAAAAACTCACGCGCTTCAAATTTTGGCACAATTTTAATTCTAATCCGCGTTTTCACACATTTTGGTTTATTTCGGAGTGGAGAGGATGGTATTTAAATTTAATATAATGTTTGTAACACAATACTAAGGAGTAAGGAGTATAATGACTATGTACATGCAAATAATAATAAAAAGCAAATTTGTTCAACAATTGCGATCCATCTAGCGATCTATACTAGAGATGGATCGTTAGTACTTTCTGATACAAGGTCAAACATGTTCAAGACTTTGCAATAATATTTCACGTGCGTGTTAGCTTGAGAAAGAAAACATATTTTGTTTATATATTGAAGAAATAAACTTATATAATGGAACATTACAGATCTTTGCGCTCGTTGTGATCTTTTATATTGAAGGAGTCTCTGAATACTGAAAACAGAACAATCCGAATATACAGTTCTCCACTCATTAAAAGGTGTTAGTGTTTTTCACAGCTGATACTCATCTTTGGCGATATAATCTAATCATGAAGGTCTTTAAAATACCCAATTGAAATAAAACTATTTACAGAGGCATACAGAGATCAAATTTCTATGCTTCATAGTTAATAAAGATTCTGCCAATATTGACAAAACTTGAAAGCCTTAGTACTTATCTTGATTAAAATAGGTTGGATTTTGTATGTGACTTTAATGTAAATGTACAGTTCTGTTAATTTAGAAAATTTTAATTTATTTCATCTGTAAATTATGAAGATTTTTCTAAACCTTGATAGATAAAAAGTGTGAATTAATCACACTAATCAAATCACACTAATCACACTAATACTAATCAAAATTGTACGCATAGTATATTGCTTATTTAAGTTTTTTTTGTGTATTGGTTGTACTATTAAGAGTTGATTATCAGTTAGTAGTAACTCAGCAAATCAGAAAATTTCATTAAAAGTAAGAGCAGTAACCCTTCAAAATGTTAAATGCTAGCCAGCAAAGCCATTAGTTAATAAATAATAATAAAAATAAAATATATATAAAAATAATATATTAATAATATAAATAATAATAAAATAATAAAAACATAAAACATGAATAAATATAAATATAAATTTTTATAAATAAATTTTTATAAAAATATTTTTATAATTAAATTTTTATAAATTAATTTTTATAATTAAATTTTTATAAAAATTTATAAAAATGCTTCTAGCAGCGTCGAAATGACACTAGATCTGAGTAGCAAAAAACGATCCTTAATAATGAAAACCTGGAAGAAATTAAACAAATATTACTTGCCAATACAAAATTGCCAATATAAAGGTAACTTAAAAATTAGAAATTGCATGAACCTTGTCATTAAGAATGAAATACACTATTTAAATGATCTTCCCACAGTACTCCGTAAAGTATTGGATTCTTTTATGGCAATTTTCGATAACTTGTCGACATAAAGCTGGAAATTGCTCGACTATAACTGAACGAATGTTAAATACTCATTTTTGAAGCGTCGCATGATCTTAGTAGCCATTGTTATCACCAAAACTTTGAACTTTGCCCGGAAAATTTCTTGCGCTACATGTTATCAATTTCGCGCCAAAAATTATTAGCAATCATGTGGCTATAGCGTTCAAAATCGAGAGTTTGTTTCACTTCTTCGTCATTTTCAAAAACGTATAGCCTTTTACACCAACAGACTAAATTCCATACAGTATATTATGGATGTAATCAATTTCCACCAAGCGGAAAGTAATATATACCTCTTCTTATCGCTGAAATTAATCGGCGTTCCTTTTGTAATAAAAGTTCAAAATTTAAAAAACGCTTATAAGCAAACCAAACCAATCATTAAACTTAAACATGTGATAGATATCACTAAAATATTGCTACCAAATCGGAACACAACCCCGTTATTTTATAAAACATAAAATAATATATATACAAGAAACTAAGTTCACTTTACGATTTGTTAATTTTTTTAAAAAGTCCACATGTTGATCCTAAATGTATAATTCTTGATACTGTATTTTTTCTAAATTATAACAAGCAAGGGTCTGATTTATTCCTTTATCGAAGAAGGGCACATTATGCATATACAAAATTTTTAATCCCTTATGGCTATATACCAGTAAAAAAAATCATTATTTATTTATTTCTATGAGCCAGTGCACTTGTGCACTTTTACTCTTTCTTAACTCGAGGTATTTTTAAAATCCCTCTTTACGCCTTGACTGGATTATTGTTTATCACTTCATTAGACTAAGCAATAATTGACCTCAGATCTGTATCCTTCTCCGAGGAGCCTGTAAGCGTTCTGAGATTTAATAACGCAGTGTTGGTATTATCTTCATGTGTAAGATAATATATAATATATATAATTACGGTTTCAAGTAAATATCTTTATACCTAGTGAAGAGAAATGAATTACTAAGAACCTAGCTAATATGGTTCCTAAAACATATATGTTATGTAGAAAATCCCACTCTATTAACTGAAAAACTAAGTAAACAGTTTTAGTAAAGGAAGGTTTCAGCATAATACAATAATCTATGTTAATTTCTAGTAACCTATTTATACATTGTGACCGAAAGGTTTTCGGAGGTTCTCATTTAAAATTCGCGCGCTGTATATTTTTCGATATTTTAAGTTTATGTAGTTTGGCAGCACTGTCCTTAATTACTATGCCAAAAATGAGCGCGATCTGTCAGACAGTTCGTTTACGGCAGCTGTTGAAACCAGTTCACCTCAGTAGTGCGTTGCGAAAAAAACAATGGAAAAAAATATTGAACAAAGAGTTTGCATCAAATTTTGTTTTTCGAACGAAATTTCGTGTGCAGAATCGTTGCGAATGCTACAAAAGGCTTATGGGGAATCAGTTTTATCGAAAACTCAAGTTTATGAGTGGTACAAAGCCTTTCAGGACTGTCGTACGACCGTCGAAGACATGCCGCGTTCTGGACGACCTTCGACCTCTACCACCGACGAAAACATTGAAAAGGCAAAGGAAATCGTGTTCAAAAATCCTCATGTGAGTGTTAGAGAGATAGCACGAGAGCTAGGCATCGGTCGTGAGATGGCTCGTTTGATTTTGGTGGACAATTTGTGTATGCGACGTGTCAACGCCCGGCTTGTTCCGATTCACCTCAATTTGTTCAACATTATCAACGATTTTAAGGCCAAACATTCAATAAATACCATCGAACAGCCACCGTATTCACCTGATCTTGCACCGTGTGACTTTTTCCTGTTTCCCAACCTCAAATTACCACTCAGAGGAACGCGTTTTGAATCCATAGAAGACGTAAAACAGAATTCGCAGAGGGAACTCAAAGCCATACCGGAAAGCGCCTATAAAAAATGTTTTGATGATTGGAAGAAACGTTGGCATTTGTGTATCGCTTCTAATGGAGCATATTTTGAAGGAGATAAAATAAATATTGATGAAGATTAAGAATTTTGCGTTTTATTTATTTATGACCGGAAACTTTTCGGTCACAATGTACATATAGTAAACATTTGAGTTTTGTTTTACATTTAATTAATTTCGATTTCATTAAAGAATTTCACATAAATTTGAGGTTCGTAAATGACTTTGACATAAAATTTTAAAGAAATGTTGAAAAGTAAATAATATATACAAAATATATGTTCTTTAATGTTAGCTCTGCAAAATTTATATCAAAATATATTGGTTTTGAGATCTGCATAAAGCCCTATTGGAGTTAATGGTGGAATGCATCGCCATCTTGATAATATTGGCATGGTTCGGAGCACAAATATTTACTAAACGAGTGGATTATTTAAAATTTTATATTAAAAAGCCAAAACAAATAAACACTTACCAGATATAAATTAGCGTCATTATAATTGTATGTATGGATCCTTTTAATTAACCTGGTACATCGATATGTATTTATTCGTTACTTCTATTGGTTGTAATGAGGCGGGCCTTAAACATGTATTAACTTATCGTGTGTTTATATTGTTAATTATGTGATGTTTTTACCAGTTTTTGAAAATTTCAGTTTTTGTGATGTAATTTGGAGAGACCTTAAAATAGAATTATATTGATTTGGATTTGAAATGGATATAATATATATTGAAAATGTTTTTATGAATGTTTTAGTATTAAAAGACGTTATATGTACTTATTAGAAGTAAGAGATAATAGTTTTTAAACTAATTTAAAGCTCACCTTATGTACCAATGGAAACGCAGCGTTGTCTTAATGACGTCTGTTTCTATGCCGTCATTAATTAAACTAATAACTACTTATTAACTATTTAAATACAAAAATTTAACATAAACATTTAAAAGTTAAGATAAAAGTAAGACAATAAATACAATTTTATGGACAATGGACTATGGACCAATGGATAAACTATGATATTATGCAAATTTCTTAATACTACTATATACATTTTTTTTTTGTTTTTTGTTTTTTGTTTAAGTTTTGATGAAGATTATTATTTTTACTTGCGGCCCTTTGAAGGACCTTTATTTATATTTTCTGAAAATAAAAAATATAATTCATAATTAGGTAAAAATTAAAAATATTATTCTACACAAGTAATTAATTATATTACGTTTAGTTGTAACCTTTCTTGGAGGGGTCCGTCCAGCACTGCTTAGTGGAGTCTTTCTAATATTTTCCACTTTGGAAAGTGTTGGAATACGTGAAGCAGGACGCACAAATTTTCTTGGAGGAGTGCTCATCAATTCAGCTTTGCTTTGATCAGCACAACTTACGGCGCTTGTATTGATTCTAGACCGAGGACTAGAATCATTATTTTGCATATATGAACTCAATGTCAAACTCGATTGAGATTTCTTCAATTCAGGTAACTTTTGATGCGAACCAAGCGAGTGTTTAGACAAATTTAAATTATTTTTCGATGGTGAACTTAAATAATGTTCAGTGGTATTTCGCAGAGAGGCGTTGCTCTTTGTGGAGTAATATAAACTGCTTTTAGTTTTTCCACCTAAAGTTAACTGACTAGATACAGAAGACATTCCATCAAATTTTGCACTATTCAGACTTGTGTCATCTTTAGAACATCGATTGCCAAAATTGCTTTTCAATGACGCACTACTTATACTTCGGTTCATGGATTTCATGCTATCACTATCTTTTAATAAGTAACTGGAAGTACTTTTGGTTTCACCACACTGGCTTTTTACTGATGCACGACTGGACGATTTTGAAGCATTAATCATTGGTTCTGGTCCTGATGCTTTAAATTGACTTTTTATGCCAGGCATTTCTTCAACATCAAGACTCACAACATCCCTTGGCGTAATAACCTTGAACTTGTCCACTTTTTTTCCAATTATGTTCATCGATCTTACAGCAGCCTTATTAGTTTCATTTAAAGGAATGTTTTTAGTTATAACAAATCCAGTCTCATTTCCATCTAAATCTTCTTCTCCTATTACAGAAGTAGACGATTTTCGTTTATTCTGAAAAATGTTTGTGTTTCTTTCACTTTTTGGATCATATGTACTATTTTCCAAATTTTCATTTTCTTTTCGTTTAAATCTGTTATCCTGCATTCCTCGCATCATGTATAAGGTGCGAATGGCCTCTGCAGTGACTTGCAAGGAAGCCTTCTGTCGATTTAAATTTTGTCTTTCTTTCACAAACTGTAAAAAAAATTTTTTTTTAAAACTTAATAAAATTTGTCTTTCGAAGTATTTGAATCTTACATTAGGTTCATCCATTTTCACACTTAACATTTTTTTGATCACTAGCAGAATAATTATTATGCATATTGACCTAAATACATAATCAATTACGTTTGGTTCACGATTGACATCGAAAAAAAACCGATACAAAAAGCTGTCACTATTTTCGTCCATAGTGACTTGTCACTGAAAAATAAATATAATTAGTATCATATTAGAATGGATATACCTATGTATATAAATATAAATAAAAAAATATTTGTTGCATATATGGGGAAAGTTAATTTCAATAAATTATTCCATTTTTGTAGTTAAGCAGGGAAGTCTAAGTTATAAATATCTAGAGCTCGTAGATATTGTATGTAATCTATTACATATTTCCATACATAATAATTTAAAAAAATTAAAAAATTAAAAATATTAAAATCAAAATTAATCATTAATTAATTTTGAAAGAAACTTTGCCAGATATAGGTTTCAGTTATAAAATTAATTGAAATAACGCATTGAAGGTTTATTGGTTAATATATTAAACCGAGAATATTTGGGTTTCAAATAAAATTAATAATATTATTCATTAATATCCACTTATAGATATATTCCCTGTGCTCCACTAGGGTAAAAGGACAGCAGTAAGTAAAAAAGAATATATTAAATCCATATGTATTTATCGAATAATTCAACGAATACCTTAACTTTTATGAGAACTTGCAGTTTGGCTTATTTACTGAGACATTTTTGGACATTATTTCTTAGTAGATAAGGATAAAATCAAACACTATTAAATTTTTATATGGTATCCTATTTTATTACAATTAAATAGAATATTAAAGCAGGGTTTGAAGAAATCTAGACTTTCGAAAACTTATATTTATTATATGTTATTAAATTACAAAGGTCCAGATACACAATCTGGTTAAACTAAAGCTATAATTTAGGAAAATCTAGCACTTGGTTTTTTTTGAATTATCATAATAGCTTGGATGATCTCATCACTGTACATAAATACTAAAAGTGTTTACAGGTTCTAAATGAAATATCGTGAAAGAGTAAAATCGAAATATGAGAAGAGATAACAGTGAAGGAATTCTCGGAATTGTGTAATTAGGGAGAGTCATAAAGATAATAAAAAATGACACTCAATAGTTGTCAATAGTCAATGACTCAATAGTTGTCAGTAATTTAGATGGCTCAGATCTATAATTTTTGTTATATGGTAGTTATGTCGATGTTATAGTTATGTCGATTGATTATTCATTTAATTACAATTTGCTAGTGAAATATATATTTTTAACTAAGACCATGGGTGTAGCATATCTAGTAAATACTTTTTTAAAACTCTTTGATGTTATAGTATATTCAATATAAAAATATTGAAATAATAAATATAAATAAAATAATGAATAGTAACAGCAAAGCCTGTAAAAAATTAAAATATATAAAAAAATAAAATATTTTAAAACTTACACGTCCGTTCGTATAGAGAAAGTGACAGTCAAAAATTTGTTCTATTGTAAGTCCCAAATTCTGTACAAAATGAGATAATGTATTTAAACATTAAAGTAATATTTTTATATAACACAAAACAAATCGTATTAAGTCTATTATATCTTATTACATAGTTGTGGTTTAAATAACTACTATTTATAGAATAGTTTAATCAGGAAATGTAAAGACCACCAATAAAAAGGAATTAAAATTATCTATGAAACTTACCCAACAAGAATATATTCCAAATAAAACGTCAGAATGATAAAAACTGCAACGATTTTTACAATCGAAAAATACAACTCACTTTACAGTTTCAGAAATAAATATGAATACAATTTTTCTTTCTTAAATGCCAAAAATAGAACGTCAAATTTTTAAAGATATTGACATTTAAATCAATTTAATGCAATCAATTTAAAAACAAAATATGAAAAAACTGTTTTTGATTACCAGAAAAAATATATATTGCTTAGACACAGTCTAAAATGGAGGCTGGAGCACCATCCTTCTAAAGGTACAATGAAACAATCATGCCTGCCATATTAAGGAATACAAAAGGCTATTAAAAATTAAATGCCGGCCTGAAAGCAATTCTTTTATTCTCATAAATAATGAATATATTTAATATCATATAATAACATATACCATATATGATTGTGATATTGTTGTTGTGATTTGAGTTAGTGCTATTGCGCACTTTTACTCTATTGTGGCGGAGGGCTTATCCCTGCCCCACACTATCATTTATTTATTTTCTAACTGATGACGAACCGTAGATCAGCATATCTTCCTGTGCGTCCTGAGGTGGACTTAAGGTTTGTTTGTGATATTAAATATTATAGACTAAGATTCTTTATAATATCTACAAATAAAATTGAGGACTCCGCATGAGACACAAATCGAAAATGAAAAACAATTATCTATAGAACTCACCAATCAAGGATATATACCAAATATCTGTTCAGCATTTAAAATCACCTTTATTAAATTACAATCACTTTTAAAATTTCAAGTACAATCTGAGATGAATATAAAAAAAATAGTATTTAATAAAATGTTAATATCAAATTTTGAAATTGAAACTGACGTTCAAGTCAATTCAACGTGATAAATTTAGAAAGCAAAAAAAAGACGAAATGATATACATATATATGAGTTGGACGAACTTTAAGCTAGAGGCTGCACTGACCGTACTCCATGAGGAGCATAGACTTGTGGCATAGAATCTCCAATTATTTCTATCTCTAGCAATATAACGTAATTCATTTAAAGATTTGCCGGTTATCTTTAAATGAATCATCGTTTTTTTCCTGTTGTCACATGATTTTCCTATGTATCTGTTGCCTTTGGGGGTTCCATTGAAGTCTGTCTTTGTACGGTTTTCCATTTTGAAATTCTACGTGTCCACCAAATTCTCAAAATATTACGCAGACTGCAGTTGGTAAAGCTTTAGCTTTTTCTTTGTATTTTACTTTTGACCAACCAAGTTTCTGATCCATACAATAAAAAATGGATTATTCACAGGCACTATAAACATGGATTTCTGTATGAGTATACATATATTTCATTTGAATTCCACACACTATGAAGATTACTGAATGCTATTCTGGCTTGTATTTTTTAAAACACATACCTTAGCAAGCAAAAAAGTTTTTGTAACAAACACATGTGCCCATAAGTTAACTATATAAGTCTAAACCGATATGAATAATATTTTATATATTCTTTTATATGAATATAAACACAGTATGTACCAAGTTTTATTTGAAAATCTTTATTAAAAATGCGGATAACTCATATCCTATTGTTCAGTTTATTTAGCAGCTACAGCGTACAGAACATCGATTTTGATGAATTCAACAAATGATCGAGGTCTACTCCCTAAAAGTACGTTTGCAAGTATGTATTCAAATACCTTAAAAACGGAGAATGTAGTCTAAGACTATTCAATGTATTAAATACCTATTGGTGTAGTTTAGAATGAAATAGAAACATAGACAGACAGCACTAAATGAACTCAAATCATCGTTCTGATCAGGAATATTTATACTCTATAGAGCCTACATTGTTTCCCTCAGTGACAATGAAGATGCAGTAACAAAAAACATCTTTAGCTTCAAAAAGTATTAATATAAAAATATCTACATATATATATTTAAATATATGAAATATATATAGTGTTTAAATATTGTAGTTAAAAAACTGGTATATATATTATTTTTGCGGTTGTAATTAACATATAACATATATGAATAAAATTTTATATCATTAATAACATTTATTTTTTATTTCAGGTAAGCGATAATCATCCATAAATATTTAATTATTTACACATTTTATGAAAGTAATTTTAATAGTATTTTTAATTATGAAAAGAAATTTATTTATATGAATTTCAAATTTCAAATTAAAGATTATTTTTCGATTTAATTATTAACATAAAAGCTATTACTCATACTTTTGTTGGTGAATATTAGCAGCAAAAATCAAAATTTAGTAGTATGAAGCTGAAAGGGATTTAAATTAGACGATTCTGATAACCAAAAATGTATACAGATATGATAATGTCTGCATAATATATCAAGGATATATTATATTTATTAAATAATACTATATTTTATTAAAATAATGGGATAGAGACAAGCCCCCAACCATTATAGAGTAAAAGTGCGTAATAGCACTAACTCAAGGAGAAGAATCAAGAAGAATTAAATAAATATTTATGTACATAAATCTATCTATTTATATTGTATATACCTACATTATACATATATAGATATTATATTAAGAATTAATAGTTAATAAAAACAGAATCAAGACTTTCTATATTCCCATTTTTAATATTATAAACAACAATTACAATTTAAAAATATATAAGAATATTAAAATAATTATGCAATTAAAACAAAAAACAAATCTTGTGTATAGGTTAAATGGGTTAAAGTAGCTTTCCAAATGAACAGTTAATCTTGCTAAGTAAATATCGTAAGGTATGATTATGTATGCTAGGTACTGCTTATTCAGTACCACCACAAACAAAGTTGCAATCTCATTATTTATAATACAAACAATACTGATTCTATTCTCACGATGTGATATCACAAAAGAAAATGTTAAGATTAGTCGTACATAGAATTTCGACACCATTCTGTAAACAGGAACTATTAAGGAACAATCAAATAATCAGAAAGCTTCTGAAAAGTTTATAGCGAAATAAAAGCAATCGTTATATACTAAAAACTTTAATTTAAAATATTACAATGTTGGTAAATATATAATAATATTATATATACAACAATTATCTATGGAGCTTATCAAAAGGGAATATATTCTAAATGTTCGCAATGATAATAAAATGCTATGTATTTTATACTCAAAAATTACTACCAAATTAAGAATTTCAGTAATGAATATGTATATGGCACATTTTTTTTCTAAAAGATATATATTGGTTTAACCTATTCTAACCTGCAGGCTACCCTAACAAATTTGAAAAATTATACAGAATTTTGGAACCATTATTAAACTTTTTTATTGCTTTTTATTTAAAAGAAAGAATAGAAATATTTTGCAAATTTAGAAATCAAAGAAATATAGATAATAGATATAGTGATACTCGTATAAGCAATGCTTTGAAAATCCTTTTCGATATATATGTGAATCGTTTGTATATGATATGATATTTAATATAATAAACCAAAAGTCCTTACAACAATTTTGTTAAAACGTCTACAGAGAGAATAGGAACTTCTAGCCTTACTTTAGTCAGAATTAAAATATAATTCATCTATAGGACTTACCAGTCAAATATCCGTTTACTAAATATCCATTTCAAATTTATATCTACTTTTGTGAAAATGCAAGCACTTTTAAAATTTTTAGTAAACTTTACGGAATCAAATGCAAATATATATTTAAAAATTTTTTAATAAAATATTATCAAAATTCTATATGAAAGTGACATTGAAATCAATTCAGTAATTCAATAAATTTTAGAATGTAGTGAAAAACAAAATATTACGAGAAGCTGTACCTATATACATCAGCCGTTCCATATAACGAAACGATAAAATTCTGTCACTGACTATTTGGATGCAATATTTATTATATAGAATATAGTCAATGACTTTTTGAATTTTCCACAATAAAAGAAAACGAAATATCTTAATACCTTTGAACAGCTCAAATATTCCACAGAAATACTATTGAATACGCAAGGCTCTGAACAATAGGTTATAGAACGTAATCCACGATATATTGAAATCCTGATTTTATGCTTCCCATCAGAGAAATCAATCAAAAAAAAAAACAACAGATAGCATCAAATCAATTTTTTTTTTTGAATACTTTTAACTAAGTATAAAGAACCGGACTGCTAGGTCCTTTGCCCTCTCCAAAATACAAAATGGGGTGTACAAAAATGCTTTACCACTAAAGGCTATATTTCTTGTTTAATATATTCATTGGATTTAACGAAATTTTTGGTTCAATGAATGGACTTTACAAATAATCTTTCGGTAAATTAGATGATAGCTGTAGTTTGGACTAATTTTAATCTGCACTACTCTAATTTTTTTTCGAATATTTTTTTCGAATACTAAAATAAAAATTGGACCCTTATTTTAATTAGAACTGTTCAACAGCAATCAAACAATTACGCCTAAGAATATTCTACCTTACTGATATTCTCCGCCGAGAACGGGCAATTTACTGATAATGTAGTATAGAAATATATACTATTAATTCTTGTATTAATGTTGCTAACCGGAATGAGTCGTTAAATATAGTTTATCTATAGTACTTACCACACAAGGATGTTTTCCAAATATAAACAATGATAATAAAGTGCAAAACATGTATCTATAATTTAATGCAAGTAATTAATTACAGTTCACAGATTCATATTCAAAAGTAATTTTGGAGAACTATAAACTCTTTTAAAATTACAAGTATTCCTTACAATATCGAAGACGAATATACAAATAGGTTTATGAAAATTTTTCTATAAAATGTTAATATCAAATTTCTAAATGAAATTGACATTTAAATCAATGTAAAACGTTTAAAAAATGATGTTTTATACTATGAGATATGGTATACATTGCTTGGACCATATTACTTAGATCTTAAGACTACAAATTTTCAATATAAACATAGATTTTTGAAAGCATTCTTTATACTTCTTTAGACTTCTTTCATGGTTAAAGAACAATTCTCATTTTGATCAAGATGACTATATTACTATATAATTACTAACAATATTGTTAACAGTACTAGAATCTAAAAAATAACTCACCAAATAAGGATATGGTCCAAATATTAGAACTGAAAACAAATTACACCGAATATATCTTTTATTTAAAGTATATTACTATTTACAGTTCACCGCTTCACATTCAAACAAATTCTGTAAAAATTGGTAATTGCTAATTAACGTATAACAGAGTATATGAGAAATATTTTTAAATATTAATGACATATTAAAAAAAAAACATTGACATTTAAAACAATTTAATGCGATCAATTTAAAATAAGATATTGAAACGTCTTATTACCAGAGAAGGCAAATAAAGAAATCCAGTCTAACCTGAAGGCTACACTGCAATGCTTTTGACTACCTAATACTGTTTTGCTGTTTCTTATTTAGGAAGCAAAATAAATTATAGATACAGATATAGATACAGATATAGTTCTATATTTTTCAGAGAACTATATCTGTATCTGGACTCTCAGGAAGATATGCTGATTTAAGGTCCGTCATCAACTAAAAGACAAATAAATGATATGTTTTTTTTTAGCCTAGTTAAAGCCTAGTGTGGGGTAGAGATAAGCCCCCCAGCCATTATAGAGTAAAAGTGCGTAATAGCACTAACTCAAGAAGAAGAAGAAGAAGAATATTATTCAAAGACTGATGAAAATTGCTAAACATTACCAAACATTACTTAAATATATATATTTTACTATCTTGTACATGTGATAATAAAAGTTGTATATTACAAATCCTTACAAAAAGATAGATAAAATAATAAAGTAGCTTTATTGTTATTTAAAATATTTTCCCTTAAAGTCTATACATTTTAGCATGCTTTTGATTCATTGGTCATAGATTTTCTTCCATTCTGCTTTAGACACCTTAAGAACATGGTTTTTGAGCACACCAACCGCTTCTTTTACTGACGAAGATCGTTATATGTAGATGTGAAGCAAAAATATGCTTTTTGTTTTAATGCTGGTAATCACCGCTGATATTGAAAAATACTGTGATGGTTAAACAACTTGATTAGCTTTCTGAAACCTGAGTAATTATAATAAGTCCCATGGTCTATAATTTATGTGCAAAATCTTCTCTTCCACTTTAATTGCAAAGGCATCTAATCTGCATTAGCTACAGACCTACCATTTAAGCCACGTCCACGGACTCTAAGAACAAGCAATGTTCCCGGAGATTTCATTACAAGTGTGGTCCGATCATACTAAGCATGTTAAGTATCATTTCAAGAGAAGTTTTTAGAATAGTTTTAAGCGAATATGCTGTATCTTTTCCATTGACCTAAATATGTCGATTCCCTGGTCTAAGGATGGCTATGGATGGCATTAATGTTAAAGATAATCGCTGAATAACACTTTTAAGCTTTTAACTGAAGTAGGTATACTTCTTTAATAGCATTTTGCGTTCTTTCTTCAATATAGCGATTCCCTACTAGTTTATTGTTCAGAAACACATAAAGGTATTCTATGTGATATTAAACTCCATATAGAAAATATTTGTATGATATTGTAAAATTTTTCTATACGGAATCCATTTTTCATGCGAAATGGATGTTAGTACTAAGATTTAAATAGAAAAATAAATAAAACTCGTCTTCGTAGAATACCTATATAAACATAATTTCTTATGGCAAAATTGATACTAACGGACCTGCTATGAGTCGATAAAATAATTGAAATGTAGCAGTTTTTTTTTTGATGCTTGACTCTAAATCCGTTAAAGTTATTCTAATTAAATTTTTATTAAAGCATCGTGAAGCTATTGTATTTTTTACTTAAAAAAAATTTTATGCTTCAATAAAAGTTAATTATGAATTTCTGATCGTGAATATTACCTAGTTTTTGTACTTCATTTTTGCATGAATAAAATTGTCTATAAAAAAATAATAAATTTTTTAACACACCTTTTGAAAGTTCAATTTCCGATAAGCAAGGTTATAGCACAATAAAACTTCATCTGATACACATACTCACACTTAAAGGCGGAAAGAAACTGAACCGCTTAGGCTTACCTTAAGAAACATTGAAGTATTTGTTTCTATGCCAGAAATTTAGGGTAACTGTCTTGAGATCACCTATCATTGAAAGAGAAGTGAAAATGAACAAATGTAAATATATTCGTACAGGTGTATAAATAATTTTAGTGAATAAATAACTTACATTTTGTTTAAAAATAAATCAAGTAATTTACGAATAATATTAATTTTAATTAATTATATCATTCTCTCCAATTACCACTGTGGTTAGGCCTAATCAAATAATATACTTAGTATTATGAACTTATAACAATGCAATAATATGTTGTATATTACGGATGATTACTTTTCTGAGCTTTGAGATTATTTAACCGGTTTGAATTATTATTACTTTTTTAATTAAAACAGACATAGAAGTAATTGCTAATTATAGATATACTTTATATTAAGTCTTTATATATATACCTACTATGTAAAGAATTTTATTCGAATATTTTTAAGTTTATCTCCTTAAATATTGTTTTAAACTTACTTTGTAGAATTATTATAAATCATATTATTATTTATAAAATGGGCCCCAAAACATCAAAATTTTATCTTATATTAAATAAATACATAAATAACATCACGAAACATACTTTAGCTTCAAATGTTTCCTACCTATCTCATAATCATCTGCCCTCATAACAATTCAAGTTTTTCAAGTGTCCAATATCGTTATTCCATATCTTCACCTATGCTGTTAGGTTAGTATGACAAGTCTGCTCATACTCCTATAGTTTGTCGTAGTAGTATTAAAGCAAATACGTTTTCGTCTGTTGCCTGTGTACAACCCATTGATGTCTATGAACTATATGGAATTTATAAAATTTTTTTAATCATATATGTCAAGTTCTGAATGGCTAAATAAAAACTACTTAATAAATTATGAATGAACTATTAGAGTTGATGTCAAATGGCACCTCTACTTTATTTTATTGATGGATCTAATAGTGTCTCACTGGATATATGAGATGATTTTGTTGTTCCATTCAGTTAAAAATTTAATTGATTTATAATAAGTCTGCGTAGTGCTATGTTATATATCTTTTTAATGTCGTTGGATTTTAACATATCTCGATCTAGTTTGGTGTTAAATTCAGCCAGTTAACTGTTGCAACCCTTTTCTCAGTGAAGCGTCGCATATCTTATATACCAAGTAGGGTTTATTATTTTTATTTGTATGATATAAATAATATATTAGGTTTGGCCTAATGATTCTTTTGTACAGTAGAATTCGAATTTTTAATACAAACTTGTATAGATTATATTAGTGAATGCAGCGTACATAGTATATTAGTGCATTTAGCATTTTACTCTTAGATGTGTGCCTTCCACGCAAAGCAGTTCTTCAGTTTTGAATCAAAACATTGAACAGTAATGTTCCATTCAGTTTTGAGTTTTCTTGATATTTATAGACTTTAATGTGCATTGAAGATTGTTTCTATTTTCTCTATATATTTTCCAAATTTTCCAATTGACTTATTGGTCTATATGACTCCATAATTTGTCTGTAATTCAATATGCTTTTATTTCTGAGAAGAATATATAAATATCGTCTGTGAATAGAATTGGTCTTGTCGACATCATATTTGGTACATCAGAAGTGTTAATATCAAACAGTGATGATAAATGAAGGTAGCATTATGACAGAATTTTCTTTGTTTCAGGAAGTTGCTCCATATGCAAAGTAGTGTCAAATGCCTTAGTTATGTCAAACACATGCTTTTATTTTGCGGTTAGTTAATACGGATTGGATTGTTTCGACTACGCATCTGTATTGAATATTGTCTATACTTTAAATCATGAATAGATCAACTTCCAACGATTTTTGCTGCGATTAGTTAGCCCCCAATTTTAGTAGAAGATTTTTTTCCAGTTATGGGATTATGACGATGGTTGCTGTTTTTCAAGTATTAACATGTCTTAAATGGATAAAAACATGTCTTAAATGAATAATTATTTGTACTAAGAAAGGAAGTACTATAACCAATACTTCGAATCAGATATTTATTCGGTCCGATTTTCGTTATTTAGTGTTTCAAGTGTTTTAAAATTTAACTTTTAAGAAAATAATATAAAAATTTAAGAAAATGTTCTTATTAAATTTTAATGTGTATTTCCTTAATCTTTCTTTAATACTCTTGAGTGTGAATATCAATCCCCGAAAGTATTAATTGTATTAGTTGTGTTGCTTGTGCACCTAAGGGTACAATTGCAAGTTTAAATCAATGATGATATGTGTATTAATGCTCCACCTTAGATTATAAAAGACAGTTATCTTTGTGCAATCTCGGTACATAGTCAATATTATTCAATTAACCATATATTAGGTATACACTTCTGTAGAAACGGATTACTCAATTTTTGTTGTTTTGGATCTGTACTTTTGAAAAACTTTTCTAAACATATGTATATCAAACTTTGCAATACTGAAGTGAAATAAATTATGTATTTTTTTCAGTTTCATTATTCTATTATTATTATTATATATTCTATTATTCTTTATATTCTAACTAAATGGGTAGTCTTCTTCCACCCCATAATACGTGGGGTATTTTGAAAAATCGACAATTTAGTTTGAATTCTGGTATAAATTTAAATTTCTTCTTATAGCATCATATTTTTTTGATATGAGCAGTGTTAACTTTTCAGACCCCAACTATCTATAATTCACTAACAGTAGAAAACCGGTGTAATATTAAATCAATTGGTAATATAGTTCAATTACTTCGTAAGAAATCATAAAGTCTACAGAAAAAATAGTCTTATCTGTTAAGTGACCTCCATAATTAGGCCTTTTCTTAGGCCTATGACTAGATTTAAACCATTCCTTTTATCTTAATATATTACTAAATAAATGGTTACTCAAAACAAGAATACAATGAGTAAATTTGGTGGCAAAATCGTTTGAAAATTACATCAAAATATTTATGATTTCTGTCAAAAAATTGTTGCCGTTCCCTATTTATTAATTTCTGGGTGTGATCATAAATCTGATCGAGTTACATTTAATGTGATTTATGGTAGCGTGCGTAGATGAACTGTATTTTTTGAATAAAAAAAATGACATTACATTTACCGTCAATGGAAACATATACAAAAAGAAGGATGAGATAATTTCGACTGTTATGATGTACCAAATCAAATATACTTCACATCAAATGGCCAGAATATAAAATTGACTTAATAAAATTTTGTTTCTTTGAGGGGATTAAGTAGTCAGAGTAAGAGATACCATTTGATTCACACAATTGACATAAATGAGAAGTTTTTAATTGACTCAATTGATATAAAGGTTATCTTTCATCCATTCAGTCCTTAGTATTATATTTAAGTCGTATCTTATCACTTTTAAACAGTTCATTAATAGTTCTGTGTATGCAACTAAACCTTTATGCGTTAGCATCGATATAAAAAATTTTTAATACCACAGTACACTTAAAAAAATAAGTCCCAGATCATAATTGCGTTGATTGACTTTTATCATCCATAACATAAAAATTTTGAATAAACAACATACACTTTAAATAGACCACCCAACCATAATTCAGTTAAAAAATAAATTGAAACTAAGCCTATCCAATATTCATAAAAGTATAAAACAACATAATCCTTAAAAATAACACCGAAAAATACAATTCCGATAAAAAATAAATTTAAATTTCAAGAATCAAATATTGAAAAAAACTATTTTAAAACAACACTAAATCACTTAAAAAAATAAATACAGAAACTAAATTTCCATAATTAACCAAGACAAAATCTTCTTATCTCAAATGATTTTCAATAAATTAAAGATCATCAAATTTTGATGACCTAATTAACTTAAAAATTGAGAATTATGGGACATTTTACTTTCTCCTCTTCTCATTCCTAACTTTAACCTATTTCTAGTCCCCGCATATAGTATTTTGGCTCGTGGGTTCAGAAATGGATTATAAAAGTTACAATTTAACATCAGTTATGACGGATGTGATTATTATAGTTAATAGAAATTCTCTCTACCAAAAATGAATTATAGAAAATGAATTTTAAGAACTAAAATATTTATTTAGCAATACTATTTCTGCATTTATTTGGAAAATATTGCTTTAGAAAGAGTTAATATTGTATATAATAAGAGAAATACATTAGGCGACTACTCATATCGCCTTGAAGTATTGAAGTAAATACAGTATCAATAAAAAAAATTATAAGAATATGAACAATTCGTAGAATTGTGGATTCAAAATAAAATTAAAACTACAAACTTAAACAAAACAATTATAAAATTATTCTACAATATAATTTGGATGTACTACTAGTACAGGATCGTCCTCCGCTTCTGCTGCTTCATCTGTACTTGTTCGACGTCGTGGACTTCTGCCAGGCTGTTTAAGTTCTCCGGTTTGAAGAGGAATTATAACTTGGTCTGTGTAAATCAAACGGTCGATGACTTTTTCGATAAGATTCTTACGTGAAATAAGTTCTTCTTCCGATTCAATTTGATCTGCCACTTGCTCCAAATACCACGTAACAACATCACTGCGCTTCATACCTGAATCAGAGCTTTCAGCTTCAGCGCGTGCTTCTTCACCGCGCATATGCAAAACCAGCATCGTTGAAAGATTTTTATAATCTTCGAATGATAACGTCATTTTTTTCTTTTGAATGCCATCATGTCCATTTTCTCCGTCAGCGTCACCAGCACCGTTCGCCACACCACCATTATTTTCCATATCCACATCACCAGTAAAAGCTTCATCCACATCATCATCATCTAAATGTATATCAGGTTGTTCCACGCGTATTATAGATTTATTTAACAAACGGAAAGCTTCTCTAACATGGCGATCCAAAACCTCGCTCATACACTCTAGCTTAGCCATTGCTTCACTCAAGCGTATCATCGATTCCAACTGCCGCACAGTAATACGCCAAGTGCTGCGACCTGCAATACCAGTATCGCGTTGGCGCAGATGTCCATAGTTCTCTACTAACAGCTGGCAAGCATCTTCAGTGATAATAGGCTTGAACTGACGTGCAAATGTTATATACCGTAAAACTTCTTCACGTGTATAAGCACGTTCCACATTATCCTCAACATTAGAATGTAAATCAACAATTTTTCTTGCAATGGCATAATCGACTACTTCATTACACTCGTCTACCAATATGAAGAACAAATCAAAACGGGACATAATTGGTGCCGACAGTTGTATATTTTGTTGCAAGCTTTTTGAGCGATCGTACCGACCATTGATTGGGTTAGCTGCTGCAAGTATAGAAGTGCGTGCATTTAGTGTGGCACGTACGCCAGCTTTGGCTAACGATATCGTCTGTTGTTCCATCGCTTCATGTATAGCGACTTGATCCCGTGGATCCATTTTGTCGAATTCATCAATACAACATATGCCATTATCAGCCAACATAAGCGCGCCGGCTTCTATGACAAAATCAAAACTTTCTTCGTCACGTACTACAGCAGCTGTCAGACCTGCTGCCGATGATGCCTTGCCCGATGTGTACACAGCACGCGGTGAAAAATCTGCAACTTGCTTTAGGAATTGAGACTTCGCTGTACTTGGATCGCCAACAATACAAACGTTAACGTCACCACGCAAGGATGTTTCTAAAAAAAATACAAAAACAATATTTAATAATATTATCGGAAAATTAAAAATATAGAGTAATTACTTTCATGTGTAGTTTTAGCAACTCCACCAAACAATTGTAGTAAAATACCGCGCTTCACTTCATCATTTCCATAGATAGAAGGAAATAAACTATTTATAAGATTATTATAAAGATTACGATCTTTTGACATCTCATAAACTTTATTCCATTCCGCATCAGTCATTTGCTTTTTCATATCTTCAGCAGTTACCTCTGACATTGGAAGATCCGTGCCACCAAAACGTGCGGTGGTAGCTTGTACGCTACAGGCTAGAAACGCCATACGATAATTAAGATCACGTGAACCTAAAGCTTTTAGGCCTGTCACACCTTCAGGTCCTTCGCCACGTTTGTGGCGTGAACTTTGATCTGCCTTTGCACCAGGCATGTTCAGCACTGAAATATCTGGAACCACAATTAGTGTCCCAGTAAAATCATAACGATCACCTGCCTGCACGGTTTCAACCAATTCGGAACGTAAAATAATTTCCACAGAACGCGGTATACAACCACGCGGCAGTTCAGCCTGTGTCTCTTGTATGCGTATTTTTTGAAAATCTACAAAAAGTGACTTCTCCACATCCAACATAAAGCGCCGCCGATTGGCGCATACTGGATTGCGGCAAATGGTTGGATTTGTAAATTTGAACTGTTGTTCCACATTTCGTATCTCCGTTTGACAGTCCAAACAAATAAATGTGCCTGTCACAAGTTCAGGATGAACAGGATGTGTGCGCACTACTTGACCAGATATACGAATAAGGGTACCAATTTTCGATGTAGTCAAATCGCGCACTTTATGACGGGTTGGCACTTCTGTAAATGACACATAACAATCCTTTTCAGTTTTCAAGCCTGAATTATCTTTAACATAGTTTTCCACTGCTTTACATAGGAATGGGTATATACTAAAATAATACGAATAGTTTGTTAAGATAAGTAATTTTAATAGAAAACGTAGTCTTACCGGTAGTACTCTTCAATTATAGTTGTTGCCAAGTTTTGATTATACTTTTCAATATCGTCGAAACTCACTTCCAGAGTGTAACGATCAGGCTGCTCTAATTCTTTAGCTGGTGAAAGATATTTAATCTCACCATCTTCTTTAAATCTGTAAAATGTACATATGAATAATTAAAGATTTTATACAAAGGTATAGCATTTCAGCACATACTCATCCAAGAAATCCTGAAACAGCTTTTGACAACGTATTCCTATGTCATCCTTTACGCGCAGTTGACCAATTTGTTGATCAGCTACATCCATTGTGTGAAATTAATGTATTTTATAAATATTTATACGCAGAAATCAAAAATATTTGAATTATAATCTCAAACAACTTAACACAAGCAACACACGCTGTAATATGCCACCAAAATCCCAACAAATGCTAACAAATTTGACAGTTGATGTAAATTTGGCGCGTAATTTCGCTGGTTATTTTGTTTTGTACTGTAAAGTACGGTACGGAGCAAAAAGTTTTACAAAAATTTAGAATATATGAATTACATGTTAAATCTTGCGTTTTTAAATTTGTGTATATTATGTAATATATAATGTATGTTATACTTTGTGTATGTTATAACGATATTTTTAGAAATAGGATACAATTATTTTTTTCATATATATTTTATATATTTATATTTATATATATTTATTATATACCTATATTTTATATAGTTATTTTGTTTGAAAACTATATACATTTATTGCATTGACAAGTAATATATACATTGTTGTGTATATTGTAGGTATATACAACATTAGAAGTACTACAGAATATTTTAATACATTATCTGAAACAGTCATAATAGTTCCCTTAACCTCAAAATCAGTATAAATACAATGAAAAATGAAGCCCTCTTTCAATAGTTACTAAATTGTAAAAAAATGCTCTACCCAAAAGAAATCATATTTTTTTGATATTTGAAATATATTGAAAGCTGAAATGTGTAACCTTAATCCACTGATACTACATTTTAAGAATGAATTACAAAAATTTTCAATAATTGTTCCCTGAAATAAAATGTGCTGAAAACTATATGACTATACGACTATAGAGGCTATTCTCTTCTATAGTTACGACTATAAATAACATTTGACGAAAAAGAAAGGGAGGTGGAATTGATTGACAGTTAATGTCAAGTTGAATGAAAGGTGCTATGTAGTTGAAGATTTGGCGGACAATTATATAGCTAACTGCGTATTAAGAGGCATTCATCAACACCATTAAATTCGAACATACTTTTGTTGGAACATAGTTATTCCGAAAAATAGAGGGAGGCTATTACTTTCTTATGGTAAAAATGAATAAATCTCTCGATATGTTATAAAAAAATCGAAAGCGTCTGAATGCATTGCTTTATTCTTAGGTTGCTAAGGAAATGATTTGCGAGTTCACCCTATTCCTTTCTGGCTAGAACATAATGTCAGGGTTTCTCCGCTTCAACAAAGGAAATTTCAATTAAAACACATCCACCCTTATGCTTCTCTTATCTCAAATCATCTTTTTTCTCTTTCTCACTATCTTCTACCTAATTCATACTCTAAGCTATGTATTCGTATTTGGTATATGCGAATACGTAGATATCTTTCATGTCTACTGCTATATAGATCCTCAGACTACTGTAATTGTTAATATAATATTCTTAAATTATGATTGAACATTAATGTAAAATTAATTTTACTTACATACATTAGAATGGGTCAACTTTTATTGAACTATAATTGTGGAAGATAAAAATTATATAAAAAAATTTCTATACATCATATTCTTATCCGACTTATATTAAAAAATACAATTATTAAGAATTTTTGTTTAATTATTAACTAATTTATTTAAAGCAGTTAAATTACAATTAACTATTGTACATCAGTTTCAAGGTTTGAAAAAATGGATCGTAAATATTTTCTTATTTTCTTCTTTGACAGATTAGTAGCGCCAGTCTACTTTTAGTCAATGGAAATATTAAATTCCATATATAAATCAAGTTCCCCACAAGTTCGATTTAATTATCTATATATTAATATATAACTATTTAATTTATATTAGATTTTTCAAATATTCTGAATCGTCTTTTACGAATTTCTCAGCAACATCATTTGGAACGGCCACTTCTTTATAGTTGTCCAGACCAATTTCTTCTTCTTTTCTGTAATATAAAATGCATAAGTTATGTTAATATCATAAAAACTGAAATCTTAATTATTTTACTTATTGATAAACTAACAAAATTTGGGTCTTTATTGGGGACTAACAAACAACTCACAGGCACTAATAGAGCAATCAATCCATCAAAAATGAAGAATATGACTAATTTAAGAGAGACCGAAATCGACAATTCGTATCACTTTTTGCTTAATAGCCAGGCATGTACAGAGATAAGTGACTATGTCTCTGGCTTCTGTCAAAAGAAAACCAAAGAATTATTAAATTTTAATCTATTGTACAGATGTTCACACTGAGCAAAGAGCATGGGTATAATTCTTCGTAATTCGAATGACGAACTGATTTTGAAGCTTTACAAAATTCCCAAAAATAAAAAAAATAAATTAAATGATACAGACGACTTTTGAAATTATCTAAACAACCAAATTACATGGAGGTTCCACTAATCATATCCTAACCCATGTATTCCTATTGGTAATTCTTTTTATCCTATTTGCTATATAGATCTTTATCCGGTTCAGCAACGACATCCTACCTCCCTAATTTACGCCCCTGCTTTCTGGCTTAGATGAACCTAGATCGATATTAAGCTAAGTATTAAGCCTATCTGTTCACATCTCTCTCCCCAGATTAGTGGAATGAAGTTTCCTCAATGCAACAACAACATCTTTAAATAAAAGCAACTAATCCATAGGCGGTCTATATAGAATTATTTTCCTCTTATATATACAATAGAATGTATTGCATCGTTAAATGAGATATATCTCTCGATAAATATAATTTTCTTAAAAACTTACTTAATGAGTATATCAACAACATTTTCGCAGGCCAGCAGACATTCGCTGTCTTTGCCGACTTTGGCTTCCCATTTGTGGTACTCGCGTAGAATAAAGTAAACACCTTTCGAACGCAGCAACTCTCGGTAGCGTTTAGTAGCACACAGCTGTAGTAGCGATTCCAATAACATTTTTCTCAAATCTGGATCCACTTCACGAGCTTTATCTTCAGGCAAATACTAAATACAAACAGCATTACAGACATTTATAACGACTAAAAATAATATACATTGACTTACTTGCAACTCAATGGGCAACTGTTCATTTTCTTCCTCTGTAAACTCTTCAGGTCCGCAAAGAGGATTTAAGATGCTATGCAACACGTCGTCCTTATCAGTTAGTATTAAAGTGTGGTAAACAGGATCAAAGCAAATGTTCTTTACCACACCAATAATGCCACCTCTGCGTACTACAGATTCTGGATAACATATAAATGGCAGCACTTTATCGAAGAGATCATATCTGGAATTACAGAATAGCTCACGACCACGACTGCTTTGCGTTAAATTGCAGAATAATGGACCTAAAATAAAAAGGTTTGTAGTTGGAATTTGTTCAAAATTAGGTTTCAATTTGTTACCCAAATAATGCAGTTTGGAGTTCTTTTTGTTGTAGTTTAGCTTGGAAAATGATTTTCCAAGTTTGAAAAATATATTCTCGTCTTTTTCCATTTCATCCAGCATGTCATTCACCAGACGTTCAACACGTGACATATTGCAAAGCACCATTGCCCAAGCATCTGCAAATTCTGAATTCTCATCTGTTATGTGCTTGACGGCAATTTGTATAAGTGGTCGATCCTTAGAATTGCTTAGGGTTAATAGACATGACTGGAGTTATGTGGATAAAGGAATTACCTGTACATTTTTGGAGGTTTCAAGTACTTTGACAGCGCCAAATTCTTCAGCTGTTAAATTAATCAGACTCAATACTGCATCCTTTGCCACTGAGAGATTTTCATCACAAGTTAGTCTTATCAGTGCTGCAATGATATCCTCACACTCCACTATTGCGGCTTTACCTTCATCAGAACCGGTTAAACCTAATAATAAATGTGGTTATTAATTAATTGTGAATTTATTGAATTTTTGGACTGTAGTCACAGTGACATCTATGTGCAGTTTAATACATAAGTACTATAAACAATAATCATTTATTAATATTTTTAAAAATATTTGCTTGGTGTGGTCAATATTGGTACGCAGCAGGTGAGTGTTTGATTTACTTTACTTACAAAGCACATTTGCTGTGGCTACTGACTTCAGATCCAAACGCTGGCTTGGTTGCATAAATTGCACTAATTCTCTTAAATCATCCATTCCGTTTGTTAAAGTTTTATAGAAAATATTAAATGACTGCACACATTAAAAGATTTGTTTTCATTCAAACACACATGTTTTCAAAATTGGTAAACAGAAAACGTATTAGCAAAAGGAACGAATGGACATGAAATGGGCTGCGCAAATTGTTTTCGTTGCGTGCTTCGTGTGTTATTAACTTCTTTTTAGTATATTAATATGTAATCAGAGTAAAAAAAATTATAAATTCATTATATTGCTATATCTTTCCATGTTCTATTATATTTCACTTTATCCACCATTAATTTACTTTATAAATTCATTAATATTAACAATGTTTTGTATTAATATATTACAAATAATACCGATGTTGTTATTGTCCACTTAGTGACTTTTAGCAAATACACAAACCTAAAAATTTATTTATATTTCAAACAATTACTTTCGCAAGTGAGCACTAAAGACGCTGCGCACATTAGATAACTTTGGCCAGACATAGAATATTTACTAAACCAGTGATGTTAATCAAAAGAGGGGAACACCCGAAATTTTTAATTCAAAACAACATAATTAAAGGAATAACCTATTAAGGAAATAAAAACTCTATCCCTATGAGGAATCGCAGAGGAATAGGTATATGTCAGTGAGACCACAACTATCTAAAAAGTAGATATAGAATTCAAAGAATAGCTTGATAACCTAAATTTTAGTGAGAATTCAAATTTGAAGCTGGAACTTAGGTAAACGGTTGATAGCTACAATTTTGGAGAAACGCCCACTGTTGGAAAAAAGGAAGAGGTGTTAAAAGTAAGAGATCAATCAGCATTAGACAGGATGCAACACGCGAAGACGAACTATAATTTCTTAGAATATGAAGTAAAAGCTTTATAGATAAATTTGTCAGTATGATATCGCAGTGACCAAGCCAAGTGAGATGGGAATGCTATCGAATATTTTTTTGAAATGAAATAAATTAAATTCTTAACAGAAATTGTAGGATGAGGATGCTTTTTTCTTGGAGCAAATTAGATTTTCTTCTTTAAAATCTAATTTTAAAGAAAGCTTAAATAAAAAAATAAAGTAAAATTTGTATAAAGTTATACAGGATTTTTTATAATTATTTAATAAAAAATAATTCATTTAATTTTTTTAATGAAGAAAATAGCAAAAAGTGATCATTACTATTTATTTTTCAACTACTACAATATTTTTGTTATACCTTTAATGGCTTTATAGATATCAAACTACATATATAGGTTTAAGATTTAAATTTATTTCGCCGTAATTTTCAGCAAAAGGCTTTATAACTTCTGAAGAGTTTTTTCATCACATTTTTATACTGCCATATACACAAAATATTAAATATGTAAATCGCTTTTTTAAACTCAATACTTTTTCTTATTTTATACATAATAATAAAAATTACTATATTCGTAATAAACAAACAATGCATCAAAGTACTTTACTATAGCACTAAAAAATTTTCTAATGAAAAGCATATACTATATATGAACAATGGATTGTACTAATTTTTGTATGTAGAGATCATTATTTTTAATATTAACTTAAATCATTTGTTAAAACGACTTCACATGTTAGGTGACGTATACAATTATATATATATAACTACTATAAACCAGACTATAATTTAATTTTAATATATGATTGATTCTGGTATTTTGTTGAAATGATTAAATTTTGAAGTCATATTAAACAAAATTTGACGATATTCAAAAGAGGATTCCATACCATTACCTCCTTTTCTATTTTAATTTAGATCTTTTATGATAAATAGCATAAAAACTTTAATTTTAACAGTGCTTTCTCGTCAGTCCGATCTATAGAAGCAGGGGTTCCTCAGGGATCGCCACTTTCCCCCATTCTCTACAACATTTATATATCTGATATTCTAATGTTAGGTCCCTCTACTTTGGCGTTATATGCTGACGATACGTGTATGCTATACTCAGGTAATTGTGCTCTCAACATAACGAACACATTTCAAGAGCATATAAACCTCATTCTGGAGTATTTCCAGAAATGGAAAATAAAAATTTGTCCTAGAATCTTTGCCTAGACACTGTAAAATGAAAAAACTAAGGCTTTGTTTATAACGCGTAAGTGGAGACAGAATCCATCGAGAGTGAGAGTAATGATATGGTAATAAACTGGGAGAATAGCGTTAAATATCTCGGCATCACGTTGCACTAACGATTCACATGGCTTAAACATGTTCAACTGAAAAAAATTAGCTGTGCCAAAATTCTTCATCACCTCCAACCGCTATTCAAAAATAAAAATCCTAATGCTAAGAACAGGAAACTGATATATAACCAAATAATTCGTCCGTCACTTCTATATGGTTGTGTTATTTCATTCCCTTTGATACTTATATGTCCTGGAATCTATGCCTAGATGCTGTAAAACGAAACCTTTCATTAACCTTAATGTCGATCCTTTTTTTTTGTGAGAATATTAACTTTTAATTAGAGCGATAAGGTTTTGGATATTTCTATAAGTATTTCGGCAAATTCGCTTTTGTCTTCATAAGGAGAATTCCTAATATTAGAAATTAATGCTCCAAACAAAAGTTAATATTCTTAAAAAAACAAAACCGACTGTAAATCACATTAACCGTTTTAAATTTAATTGCTTTCACTGCTTTCACAATTACGGTCTACAAAGATAGTGACATGTGCACTATTTCTGTATAATTCACGTATCAGGATTTATATTGAGGTGTCGATCTCTTTTGGCTATCTCATCTACTAATATGGACATTGTGATGTGTTCATATAAGTCCTCGATTTAACCATACTGTACCAATTCCTTTCATTGCATCTAGTATGTCTACAAAAACAGGGATATACGAAGATCGAATGGTATTAAATTGTATTACATTGGATTACGTTGAAGTGGCAGCCTCATCCATCAAAGTTTACTTAAGCACAAATATTGGTTAGTTGTGATAACGTGGAAGAGACACCATCCTCACCACCTTAAAGGTTGAAGTTCCGTATACCACTTGAACAATCTTCGATAATGCGCAAATTAACTTGGCTGATATTGGTGTGACTGCTTTCCCTGCAAATAGTTCGACTTAATTCCCACTGCTGTACTGTCTCTTTCTATATTTGAGCCATCAGTGTTGATGGAAACTTAAGATTTGCCTGTCAGAGAGATCCTTACTTTCCTAAGTTGGAAAAAGAGTAGAGTATGAATAAATATAACAGTCGTTTTTATTTTTATTTTTCAATACGTTATCCTAATGGTTTAGAGAACATCTTATACTGTCTCTTATACTGTCTCTTTCTATCTTTGAGCCATCAGTGTTGATGGAAACTTAAGATTTGCCTGTCAGAAAGATCCTTACTTTCCTAGGTGGGAAAAAGAGTAGAGTATGAATAAATATATCAGTCGTTCTTATATTTTTATTTTTCAATACGTTATCAGCCCTGTACTTTAAACTAATTGGTTAGATATAAATAAGTAAAACAAATTCTTTTTAATTTATTAATTTTAATTTATTCGAATTAAAATTACTCGCAATTACATTTATATATGTATATTTTAATATTATATTCTGGATTTAATGTGTGTACGCTTAATTATCATTTTATCTATATACTTTTATCTGCTTGAATCTGTTTTAACATTTTTTAATGCAATACATTTTAAAATATATATTTTTATGAGATATGAGAAATTATGACGTTTTCAACAAATACGCTTCATACTCTGCCATCAATTCTGTTAGTTTATTTTCTAATTACGAATACGTCTGAGATAATTATCTGAGATAACGTCAAGTGTTACTTGTTTTTTAATATGTAATTCTATGAAGTTATCTTCGTAATGCGGTTAACGGTTATGAATATTTTTTTTTTTGTTACATGATTTCTTGAATTTTCTTCGCCCCTCTATGCTTTTAATAATTTTAATATTTTGAACTTAACATAAGTTTAGTTTATGCATAATATAAGATTTTTTATATAATATTACTCTGTTTTTAGTCATTTTTAACTTAATTGTATTTTTATCTTTTAACATATATATCGTATATAAAATTTTTATAATCTTCCTTTGTTTGGGTTCTTCTGTAATATTTTATTATAATACATTTAAAAATACAAAAGGGTTTAATACTATGCTACTAAAATTTAAATGACTTAAATTAATAATTTTTATATATATCTATATATATATATTATTTTTTTTTTGTTTATGTTTTCTTTCTAACATTTTTTTCATTTTTAATGAGAGTTGATTCAATTTTTATATGAATATTTTTGGAATATATTTTCTTTCTGATTTTTTTTCCTTTTCAAAGCGTTTCTGTAGCCTTGTCTTTTTAATTTATCGATTATCACGAAGGAGTTGATAACATTAATTAATTATAAAGATCAAGACTATTAGATAGTTCATTAAATTCTCTTTTTAGTAAATAGAGAAGTTTGAGTCATGAAAAGTTCGTCATCCTTTTTTCTCAACTGTACTTTTTAGTTACTTACTATTTCTATCTATATACTTGTTAGTACCTGTTTCTTTCTCTTTATACATACATTATGTATATATATATAGTATAAATAGGTTTCTTCATTCCCCTCATACTTTCTCTTATTTCATTAATATTCCGACAAATATACTAAATTCATTTTCGTTGCATTTCTCAAAGAATGATTTAATTTTCTTTCACTGGTCTTTAAATTCTTTTCCTACTTTTGTACTTACACTTTATTTTCCTTTCTACTCTCTTTTACTTTCTTTTATTTTTTTCCATTTCTGTTTTCTCTAATGTGATTTTTTATTTCCATTCGTTTGTTATATCTTATCATCGCTGCAATTGAGCACTTGAGCCATCTAAACTTATACATTGAACATTAAACTGAACATTACATTGTTCAGTTTATGTTCTCATACCTTCCATTTATTTCACTTTTTTCAGGTTTTTAAATCAACATTTTTTGCAATAATGATTTAATTTTCATTATTTTACTATTTATCTCTCCAATACTGCACTTTATAAGACTGTGTCCTTGTTTTACTTATATAGAATTATTGAGTGCTATTTTTGTTATCTATGCTCTCATATTTCCTAATCACTTTTGAATCA